TGACGGTTAATTAATGGTTGAAAAATGCCTAAGTGTCTGTTGGCTTCATTCACCTTAGAGGTGACGCGATCTTTTCATGGCAATCTGGTATCCATTAGGACGCCTAGATAAAGAATGGGGCTGTTGTGGAGCATCGTGGTGTTATTGCGTCGAATTTGAAGGGAGTGGGAAGGCTGTAAATCGGAGGGTGAAAACTTTCGATGTGGAATTACTTAGATTCGTCTTAATTTTCCACTTTCTACATCATGTTTCAATGGTCGTGAGGTGTCCCTGAATTAGGTTCGTTGTGTTCAGATCGTGATCTGACGCAAAACTGACAGTATCATCACTGATCGTTTAAGATAGGGTTGAGATAAATCTTTGCTTCCAATCAGTAAAGGAAAGTATTTTTACTCCTTTGTAAACGTCACAGGCCGCATAAATTGTTCTTTTAATGTAATAAATTATTAACATAACCATAAACTCGCCCACACTGATTCACGACTAATACCATCATCGGAATAATGACGGCGTGAATTCCATGGACGAAGTGAGCAATACGGAATTTTATTGCGCACTATAGCGGCTGTAATATGATGAGATCAATATTTGATTAGCGGTACTGACTTCATACTCGTTCTACATTTATTTTCGTGCAACCTACATACAGAATTAACACCCCACACTTATAGAGTAGTTACGCGTTTCATTCATCGGTTCTTTCATTCACTTGATTGCGGCATTCGAATGACGTCACTGAAGCTCTTGAAAATACAGCAGCGCTACAGAACGGTGTAGCCTACAACTTCGAGATGAGATTAAATGAAATTTCGTAATGAATCTATTTTATCTCTTGGTAAAATATATTAACTTTTCGAATAAATGTTAATAAAATCAAACAAATATAAGCGGTTCCTCTCTTCTAATTCCTGAAAGATGTCCAATATTATTTTCTGTAATAAAAAATTGTAATTGTTCAATGGCTGCCATACTGGCACGACAAGAAAACTACGAATTTTGAGTTATGACTGTTATTTTATATCATTTAATAATATTTTTTTATTTACAGAACTCCTGTGAAGCCTTTTAGTATTTCTTACTTCTTAAAGTATAGATTGTATTATCGTGTGCTTCCTGCATTACAAAACCAACGAAAACGTTAAACAAGTTTATTTCAAAAATTACGAATTGTGCCGAAATTGATGCGTATGGACATTATTAGATTATATAATATTCTGATAATATATTTACAACAAAATGTTATTTATACCCGAACAATTTATATTTTTAGAAAGAAATTCGTTCGGCCCATGAAAGAGTAACATACATATTCCCAAGTGTCCTGGCGAGGCATTGGGAAGGTGCGATATCAGTTTGTTCTCTCTTTCAATAGTTTTTTATTATAGTCGCATCAACAATTGAGGTCATTTGCGACTACTTTAAATACAACTTTACAATATTAATATGGTAACTTTACAATATATTACAACATAAATATGTCGAGACAGACATTATATTTATTTCTTGTGTTACAGTATTAGTTTCAAGTATCCAGACTTGTATACCTGATACAGTTAGATTTCTTTGAAAATATAGCTGTCTTTACAGAATTTTAATATTTTATTTTGGTATTCTTTAGATGATATCATCAAATCAGGGTTTTGCTCACTTTGTAGGTATGTGTGACTGCTATACTGAAACATAGGACATGAGTTAAAATATGTTGGAAGTTAGGAAGGGTATCACAGTGCTAGAAGGTGGGTGAGGGATTTCTAGTTAACAAGTGTTGATGACTAAACTTTCAATGACCAGTTCTTATCCTTGTTATTGTTACCTGATTTTTTCTTGAGAATTTATTTGCTAGTTTTTAACTTGTTTGTGTAGAGGGCTAGATTTCATGGTTTTAGAGAGGTTGGTCCACTTTTCATCCACTTTTTTCTTGACGTGTGTCCATAAATCCTTGCAGATTTGTGATATTGTTAAAATATTTTCTGTTCAAGGGCTTATATCCTCCTCTTCAAGGCTCATTGTGTTGTGTTAAAGTATTGATTTATAGTCTGGTATCCAGGCAATTATGAGGGTTTTTTAGATTGTATAATGTCATAATATATTTCATGAATATTATTTAGCATTCAATAGATGTTCCTGTATTGAACTGAGGTTTCTCATTGGCAATTTTCCGTTGGCAAAACCTGTCAACAACGGACGGGCGCGAGGGCGGACGGGCGCGAGGGCGGACGGGCGCGAGGGCGGACGGGCGCGAGGGCGGACGGGCATTTTGCCGTCAATCGATTTTCAGTGTGAAAGACCCACAAAATGCAGATTCTGACTGGGCGCCGCGTTAGAGGAAGTTATACGTTACATATATGCCATTTTTTCGTTCCCAGATTCCGACCATAACTTTCCCGGTCGAAATTCGTCGATTTGCGCCGCACGATTACAAAACTTTGTACTTTATCATCCTTACTTCATAACAAAAGAAAGCATTATAATAATGCGTCGGAAATTGGTGTATTTATGACAGAAAAACTCCTATTGCACGAAGTTAGTAACAAACAAGTGGATAAATCGTGTTTCCATTGTAGTATATTACTTCCTCTAACACGTGTAGTCAGAATCCATGTTTTGTTGGTCATTGATACCGGACAATAAGGCTTCTCTCCTTCGCCTGTCGGTTCGTCGGCCCATCCGTCTGCATATGCAAATGTTCCGTTTGCATATGCTTCTTCAGCTTCTTTTATGCGTGTTCAGCTTCTTTTAAGCGTCTGGTAGATCGAGTGTGCCCGTGTTGCTGTTTGTGTAGGGGTTACGTGATTGATGTGTTTATTCTAAGTACGAATTCAGCGCGGAAGAACATTTTCCTGGTTGAAAACACTTTTGCACATTATGTACAACTATTATAATATTGCGAGGGTGTTACCAGTAATGCGACATACTATGGGCTCTTGAGCCACCACACTTTATTTGAAGTCTATCTTTCCGCAAATTATAGATAATTATTAATAGTTTAGATTAATAAATAGATTAATTATAGATAGTTAACGGACAAAGCCCGTCAACAGTAACGAGAGTGTAAATGCCCCGTCTGTACAGAGAAATCCTTGTGTACAAACAGCCACCGCGTGTCGATGCCCCTCTGACGTATCTATTCCTGTACGGAGTCACATGGGATGAAAATAGCGCCTTGCTGAACATCGACGAATTGCATGCGTGTAGTTCAAGCTCTGGCAAAGCTGGCCTTGCCAGACGTCCCCGCCAGACGTCCCCGCTGCCGCACTTAGTTCTTTCACTCCAGCGCCTCCGTTCCCCGCATCCACTTCCTGCCCCCGCTCCCTGCAACGGGCAAGGGATACCAGTGCCTACGTCCCTGGGGTACGAGAGCCGACGATGGCAGCATTTATGACACTAACTAGAGGGCTGGATCGCGTTCGGCCTCTGTCTGGAGGAGAATTCTAGCGGCCGGTTGCTCTAATTGGGGCTTTTACGTAGTTTCTTCGATCAACACCAGGCGCATGCCGGCGTAGTATCCTAACAAACAGGTCATGGACCGTGCGCGATCTTGGCTTCACCTTCCTTGTCCTATCCTTACCCCTTACTTACACATACTATACGTATACGCACTACGCTCCCACACTTGTCGGGAGCTTAGAACTTCGCGCGGCGATGGTGTGCGAGCGGCGATGGTGAAACTGTTAGCGTATCGGACTGTTGTACCCAAGTTGGAGGGTTCAAACCCAATCGAAGCCGTGGATTTTTAAGGGCGAAAAAATCCTTCGTACGAGAGGAAGTAAAGCTGGTCCCATTGCATGTAAAAGATCCTCAAGCCTAAATGACGCCTCTGAGCTAAATTCAAATCGCCTGTTTCTCGCCCAAGAAATACCCCTTGAAGGAGTGTAGGAGCGTAGCGAAATTTGCGTGGTCAGACGGAAGTGCAGGCCTGATGGCATGAGTCTCACCATGTAAAATAAGGCATTAATTCAATTAATTTCTCCCGGCTGGGGCACCGTTAATGGGAGACACCTGTTGGGTAAAACCTAGCTACCCGACGTGTAATCGGCGCCGGATATCGCCATCCAGCGAAGGACGTTCACCGCAACCTCCCACGATAAATACGCGTTCTGCGCTTACGGGAGTAAAGGACCTTAGTAGTTGGTGCGCCCAGAAACGCTAATTAATCAATCAATCCACTTCCTGTATCTGCTCCCACATGTGCTTCCCGCAGCCGCTTCCCGCATTTGCTCCCCTCTGCTCCTGTCGCTTCTACCACTCCTCGCCGTTCCTGTACTAACACGACTGCAACTGATACTAACGAAATCATATTTTCACGTGACTTTCAAGTTAAAATTTGGTCAAAGACAGCAACCTGCATCAGTGACGCAGGGTCTCGGAGCAGCACTCAGGTTCGTGGGGGTCCAAGTTTGCAGGCTGACCCCTGCACCGTAAGGTGTGATGTGTGTGTGTATGTGTTATCACAACATGGGTGTGGTGTTTATATCATAACAACACGCATCATGCCTTGACACTCAGCCATTCATCTCTCGCTATAATTTACCTTTCATGATCGCCTTATCATATATTCTGTGGATGGCAATGGCAGACCAACTTTTTGATTATCTTCCCTGAAGAGGGAGAGGCAATGCCACCTACTTTCTTGCACTTCATAAGAACAGACAATTAAGTAATCGTACGCCGGAAAAGGGCGCATTTTCGGCATAAAAACCCCCATTGCCGCTCCCTGGTAACGAAAAAGTACATAAAAAGAGAGATAGCTATGTGGCAAATTACTTTCTCTAACACGTGGTTTAGCCAGAATCCAGCAGCAATCCCTCTGAAATACTCGGACATTCTGGGACTGCGACGGTGGCCCACGGATCGCATCAAATCTTCCCTTTCCATTACCACTAAGCCAGTGTTGAAAGAGGTCACATAGAAAAAGGTTAAATATGGCTGATTAATAAAAGTACCTTAATAATAATAATAATAATAATAATAATAATAATGTGTGTCATTGTTGTCGGCAGGAGCAACTGCGAGGAGAGCGTGGCGCGGGAACTGCGCCGCCACTACGGCCGCCCCTACTTCCTGCCGCCCAACGCGGAGCCCACGCGCCTCGACTGGATCTTCATGGGCAGCCCCGGCTACGGCGCGCGCATGCACGTAAGAGCCGCTCGCCCATCCGCTTGCTCGCCCGTCTGCCCGCCCGTCCGCTCACGCCGACGATGCCCACGTTCGACTATGCCCACGTTCGACGATGCCCACGTTCGACGATGCCCACGTTCGACGATGCCCACGGCCGACGATGCCCACGCCGACATCAATGCCATCACCAACGCCGCCTACATCAGTGCACCAGACTGAACTACACCTACACCAACACCAACACTAACACCTATACCAATATCAACAACATCAGCGTTGTCGCAGTATACCCTGGAGGTGCGTGGGGGGCCCATAGCAAGGATGAAATCGAATTCCTAGAAGAGGCGCGCGCTCTCGCGGGGCGTTATTTCGAGAGGCCGCGAGGGGCGTGGTGGGACAGCGCAGCGGGGGGAGGGGGGAGGTGGCACACGTGCCAACCGAGCGCAGCCGAGAAGCGTCTCCAACAGCGGCCCCGCCCCCTCTTCCCCAGCGGCGCTGCATCTCCAAGCGTCCACATCCATACCTGGACCAGTGTTTTTCGTGTCCCGCAACTGCGGGGCCGCGCCCTGACCTGCCCTTTCCGTCCGCTTCCGGAACCACTCCCTGCTATTACCGGCCACACCCTGGTCTTTCGCACCACGTCCTTCCCTTCCACGCCGCCGCCTCCCCTTACTCTCTACATCTATGTCCCTCCCTGCCATACCCTCCAATTATCCGCCGCGTCCAGTGTTTCCCTACTACCAGTCATTCATCGCCACGTTTTGTCACGCACCGGCTGAGGTGGCTCTGTATGTCACTGTAGTGCCTCTATATGGGAGGTCATAGGGTTCGAGTCACGACGATGGCAGTCTTTTGAACATTAACTACTCAGTTCAGCCGCTGTGTCAAGGAGAATTCTAGTGGCCGCTATTGGTATTTTTTCGTGGTTTCTTCCACGAATACCAGGAAAATGCAGGAGCAGTACCCTAACAAATGTCTACGGACCTCGACGATAATTTCTTGCTAATCTTTGTCCTATTCTCACCCTTTTACCTTTGTCTCAAATGCACGCACTACACTTACGGGACTAGCCATCATAGCAGTTAACGCGCCTGGAAACAGTTCTATCAGTCTGTGTTACGCTGTGCCACGGCATATGAAACCATAAGACTAAATGCGACTCTACAAAGTATATTACACCACGCATGGCATAACTCGCCCCACCCCTGTCCCTCGTCGCCCACCACGCCTTGGCATTCGTGCTTTTTTTGTCCGCAGTATTCTCTGCTATATTCATATTCTCACTCATAATAGATGTGGACGCGAGTAGTGGTTGTAGGGATTGGTGGGGCCAGCCGAAAAAAGCCGATTGTACCCGAATTAGGTTCGGTTACTTCTTAAAACTATTCCGATGAAACTATGAATGACTGGTTACGTACGCTGGCCAAAAACAATAATGTCTATCAGATAAATTCAATAAATGAAGATTTAGCAACTATAGAAAAAACTGAATTATATCATAACTCAATATCGTCATTGTTCGGGAATATAAAGAACGGAGAAATATCTAAAATGACTTTTTGCTTGGACTGTACGAGCGAAGGCAATACTTAATTTACAAACTGAACAGATTGTCGAAAACTATTGTTTTAATATTTGTGTTCTCAATTTCCGATCAATCTTTATCGATAAAGCAAGAGTAATATCGGTGATTTCGTCAACTTGATGATGATATATCGTCATACCAAAACACGCTATCATCAACAAAGATTGTAGTTCTTTATAATCTTCAAGTGTTAGAAAATTCACGAAATTAATTAGCTACTCGCCTACCCTGGAGAATACAAGACCCAAACTTCTTGTTCCTGATATCCTATTTTATATTTGCGTTGGTATTTATATTCTCACATTAAAATATTTTCTTATACAAATTATGAATTAAAAATTAGTAAGAAATGAACCAAGAATGAAGCCACCTATTCTACTTTCTGAATTTATCAAATCAGCACATTGCCATTTTTATTACTGCTTGGAATTTTGAGTAGATCTTGAAAATTAACAAATTTTATACCAGATAGAAGTAAGATATACGAACTAAGAATACTAATGCTGCTTTACTAATTATACATACTTAGCGTTTTGTTAATTTGTTCCATGAAGTTAGTATGTCTCCACAAAAAAAGAACACAATTTAAATAAGTGATTTACACTCCATACGTCACATATTACAAATATTGCTGGTTTTGGCTATAAAGAAAAAAAATATACACTTGTCAGACTTCAGCGTAACTTCTTCAGCGTAGCTTCATAAATGAGTAATTTGTCATTTTTAATTCTAAATTAGCAGGTAATAAGGGCGCGTTTCAACATGAGTTATTATCACCTCCATACTTTGTATTACATTACATACTCTCGAATATAAAATATTCAACAACCTTTTGATTGTGATTGTGATTGTGATTGTGATTCCTGTCGATTTCACGTTGAAAGGAAACAAAAATTAAAATAATCAAAAATAATGTTAAGTTAGAGGGATCAATATTAGCAGTAATAATAAACAAATGTCCCTTATTTCTAACTTACAAACAAGAAATAAAAGAGTGATGAATCTACGTTGAAACCTGCAAATTATCAGAAAAAAGTTGTTATATTCTGCAAGGCAATCATTGTATTAAACAATTCGTTTTGTATGTATTATTGTTGAGAACAATTGTTTATTTTGTTACGTACAGTTATTTTGTTACAATGCAATATTTAATTAGTAATTATACTTCAACAGTCGATACGACTATAAATTAGAAGAAAATATGCAAAACAACGTAAACATTACAAGAAATGAAAATAAAATTAAATAGAAAAAATATCTCTGCTTGTTGAATCATTAAACTACACGGAGATGAACACGTTTTATTATTTGGTTTCATACCGAAGCAAATAAAGATTTACGTTACACATCAAATCTGACTATCTCGTTATTGCTTTTAAATACATACAATAAATATTAGCGAATTTTTAAAATTGTAATCAACTAAATAATTACATTGAAACAGATTATTTATAACATGCACATCGAAATTATTATAATATTACTACTTCCTAAAAGTATTGCCAACAGTATTTTCGACGTTCACTATAATGAAAATTGTTATTATAATGACCTAGTGTATATGATTTAAATACGAGATGACATTGTTGCAATGATCGGTCCATTTAATTTGGCAGTGATATCTCGCAACGAGTGTAATTAAATTGATTGTTGAAGTGATCACAGATCTCTGGACAGTTTCGACTACAAAAACAACTCAAAGCAGAATAAACAAATTAAGTAATATTAATGTAATTCCCCGGTCGTCTGCTCGAGTGGATATGTTACTATCAATCGGCATAAATGGGGTTGAATTCGTCCCTGCCTTCCCTTCGGAGGTTCTGACAATCACAATAATATCGCAATCCCATTCCTCGTAATCTAATTCCCTAAGGCCTAACACCTCGCACCCACTCCCGTCAACCCATTTCTCAGCCTACCCACTGCTCGTCCTCGTCCCACCACGGCCGCCCTTCCGCTTTGTCCCCGCCGAGCGCCCACGCGTCGCCCCACAACCTCCCCTCCACCCTGGCGAGCCCCCACCCCACCCCGTCCCGCCGCGTCGGTCGCGCCGACGCGCTAAAAGCGGCCGCGCCGACGGCTCGGCAAATTCGGATGAAACTTAATCTCGGCTTTGACGAAAACCCGCGCGAAGCATCCCTTCCCCTTCCCCTCCGCATCCTCATCCCCTCCCTCTGCCACGCCCCCCTCCCTGACGCGCTCCGACGCTGCGGGAGGCGCGAAGTTCCACTTAGCGATGCCTCCCCCTCCCGCTGCACCGAAGAAATCGAGCCGAGCCAAAGGTTGTGCTCAAGAATGTGATACAACTTTTGGACTCTCGCATGAAGCTTGAGAATATCCCGTAATCCCTATGAGCAGCTGTTAGGACGGGAGAGAAAATGCGACGGAGGCTGAAGGTGTTATTTTCGGGAACGCGTGCACTGATTTTGTGCTTCCGCGTGCGCACGGTGGACGCACACAAGCTAAGTGGAGAGAGAACGGGAGGGGAGGCAAGAAATAAAACACACTGAGGAAGACTGGGCGGGGCGGAACAACAGTCACAAGACGACAATTCAGGACGCGAATGTGTTGCAGAGTGCAAACGTATGAGTCCATGGGTGAGAATCGGGGCAACGGGAGGCCAGAATAAAAACAGTATGAGGTTAATGTGAAGTGTGGCGTGAGGGGCCGTGGCTAGGCGTGACCGCAGGGGGAAAGCAGAGCGCAGCGAGAGGGACGGGGCAGTGAGAGGGCGCGGGGCCGGAGCAAAGACGCGCCGTGGGGGACGCGCATGGGGGGGCGGGCCAGCGTGTGACCGCGCTGCGCGCGTCGTCGCTGCGCAGGTGGCAACGCTGCAGCACCCGTCGTGGCAGGCGCAGCTGCGCGGGCCGGAAGCGCTGGCTGCTGCAGCGCGCCCGAGTGCTACTTAGAGTGCCGCAGCTCGAGGTGACCGGGTGGAAGACTGGCGAGACCCGTGAGTATCCCCACCTCCCCTCCCCTCGCTGCACCCCTCCCATTTTCTTTCTGCGCACAAAGCGGCGGCGGCGCGTGGCGGAGATGGTAGTGGCGTGAGGTGGGCAGCGGTGGAGACGCGGGGTTTTTGCCCTCTAAATTTGGTTGGCCCCACATGCTTTATTTTCGGAACCGTGCGGCCGCAGCAACTCGCCTCCTCACCCACTCCACCTGCCTCCCCTCCACCTCGGTCCTCCCCACTCCATATTCTGACACGCTGCCACCACCCACCTCCTGGGGGCAGTTTGCTAAGGAGGAGCCATTAGCGAGGGGGAAGGGGCAGGGGCAAGGTGAAGGGGTAAGGGGGAAACGCAGGGGGGATGCCATGGGCGCGGGATTAGGTGAGGGTTTTGGATGCCATCAGGGGGGTATGGCGGGCAGGGAAGGGGGGCAATGGGGTAATGGCCTGGTGCCGGCAGGGGGGCGGGGTAGGGGTAGGGGTAGGGTAGGAGTAGGGGAACGGGGACAGTGGATGGTAGTGGGGACAGACTCTGATGGGTGAAGGAGTGGGGGACGGTCGGGGCATGGAAGCGGACCCTGCGATGGTACCTGAAGCGAAAAGAGAATAAATGAATGTGACAACTGGGTTCGCCTAGCGATTATTAAGGGGATACTAGGAAAGGACACCCTTACCACGGTGGGTGGGTGGGTGGGCCAAGCATCAAAAAGAAATGCACCATCCATTTCCCCCAGGTTGACTAAGAAATTTGATTTAATTGTCAACAATTTGTCATATACGTATCGATATTTTTCATATAATAGTAATTTGGATATATAATTAGTTGAATGTCGAGTCGCCACGAGGCGAGGCGAGGCGAGGCATGAGCGTCCAGGCAAAGGGCGGGGCGGCCCCCGGTGGCCTCGTTCCGGTTGGCATAGCTTAGAAGCAGCTTGCGGTGCACAATGCAAGGTGCGGCGGAACTCGTCGTACTCGCTGCCTTGGAGTCCACATTCTGCTGAAGGTGGGACAGGGAAGCCAGGATGGAGCCGCGATCCAGCACGGAGTACTTCCTCTGCAGGGGGAGCGACTGATCTTTGATCTTGATGGTGCTGGGGGCCAGGGGCGTGTTGATTTCCTTCTGCATCCTGTCAGCAATACGGGGGTACATGGTGGGTGCCACCGGACCAGGACAGTGTTGGCGTTAAGCAGGTCCTTACGGATGTCGACGTCGGCACTTCATGATGGAGTTGTAGACGTCTCGGTGGATGCCGCAGATTCCCATACCCAGGAAGGGAAGGCTGGAAGAGGGCCTGCGGGGCAGCGGGAAACGCTCGTTTGCCGATGGTGATGACCTGGCCGTAGGCCAACTCGTAGGACTTCTCCAGAGAGGTGGAGGCCGGCGGCGGTAGCCATTTCCTGCTCGAAGTCCAGGGCGACATAAGCAGCAGCTTCTCCTTGATGTCACGCACGCTTTCCGCTCAGCGGTGGTGGTGAGGAATAAGCCGCGCTGCGTCCAGGGATCTCTTCATGAAGGTAGTGCAGTCAGGATCCCGACGCGGCCAACGTCCAGACGCAGGATGGCATGGGGCAGGGCGTATACCTTCATAGATGGGGACGGTGGTGGGGAGAGCGCCATGCCGGGAGTCCCAGCACGATACCGGTGGTTTCTGCCGGAGCGTACAGGGACGGACAGCGCTGGATAGCCACGCGTTACATGGCTGGGGCGTTGAAGGTCTCAACATCGATCTGGGTCATCTTCTCGCGGTTGGCCTTGGGTTGAGGGGCGCCTCGGTGAGCAGGATTGGGGTGCTCCTCTGGGGGCGACGCGCAGCTCGTTGTAGAAGGTGTGGGTGCCAAGATTCTTCTCGCATGTCGTCCCAGTTTGGTGATGAATGCCGGTGTTCGATGGGGGTAATTTCAAGGTGAGGGATATCCTCGCTTGGACTGGGCCTCGTCGCCGACGTAAGCTGTCCTTCTGCCCCGCATGCCCACCAATGACGCCCTGGTGACGGGGGCGGCCCACGATGGACGGGAAGACTGCGCCGGGGCAGCGTCGTCGCCACGGCGAAGCTCGGCCTTTTCACATGCGGAGCCGCGTTGTCCACGACCAGCGCGCTTACGTCGTGTCGCACATGTTGAGGGCGGGTGGTCCGGAGCGTGCGGAAGCGGAGGGTCAAAAAGACGACGAGCGTCTCACACACCGGCACGGAGGCTACAGCACGAAGAGGCGCGCGTCCTCAGCAGCCACTGAGGGGCGATGCGCGCCGCGCCCTACTATACCGCGGGGGCGGCGGGGCGCGGGCGGGGGCGCGGGCGGGCGGGCGCGGGGGCGCGGCGACGGGCGAGGGCGCCGGCCGGGGGGCTGCCCTCGAATAGCGCGCGCGCCGCCGCATACAAGGGGCTGGGGCGGCGCGCGCGCCCGTGCCGCCGCGCCGCGCCCCGCGCCGCCCGCGCGCCGGCGCCATCTAGGGCAGAGCGGCGAGCCCGCGCCGCGACCGTTGCGGGCGGGCGCGGCGGGCGTCGCGGGGGCGCGGGGGTCGCGGTTATTTCCGGGTCGCGCGCGCCCCAGAATAGCTGGTGACGGGCGCGGCCCCGCGAGGGGCACCGCCGCCGCCGCGCACGTCCGCCCGCCACAGCCCTCCCCGTCCTCTCGCCCTCCCGCCCTCGCGCGACGCACCCCTACCCGGCCGCATCCCTCACCGCGCCCGCGCCCTAGCAGCCGCGCGCCGGCGCGCGCTTCTCAGCGCTTCGTCTGTTGTTGCAGTGGTCCTCGGACACCAACAGATGGGTACCATCAGACCCATCGTGGTTCCGATTGACATGAGCATACCTGTGGGCGCCGAGTTCGACTGAGCGCGTGCCCGCGCGCGCGCCAGCCGGCGCGAGCGGCGGCACCACCCGCGCCGGCTCGCGCCGCGCTTCGCCGTCTTGTAGCGCTTTTTGCGGCCAAATAACACGCAGCTTTGGGAGTGCCAACGCAAAGCGCGTGTGGTGCTTTGGGGCCGGGCGAGCGGGCGGGCGCCGCGCGGGGCGCGGGGGCCCTCGCCGCCG